AATGGTTACAGTTCACTGCAGAAACGCTGGCAAATATGTACTGATATTGGTGGTGAATTATGTGTAAATATATTATTGCTTGCAAATGACTCATTCTGCTATTTGCTCAAAAACTGAATCACCTTCGTAACGTGATTAACTTGAAAATTACTTAGACGATAGCGAGAAATAATGCTCAAATAAAACTTCTCCATACTACGATATATATGCATTGATAGTAAAACTGGTATCAGTTTGGGTCCAGTTCCACAAGGTCATTTTCAAGGTTTGCTCAAGCGTGTGAACATGCTTAAATTTTTTAAAAATTTTTCGTTCTTAATGCGTATCCGATATCTCCAAAGAAAAAGACACCTTCTTGAAATCGGAACTTAACCCTTTATTTCTTTATTTATATTTATATTTCTCCTTTATTTATATTTCCAGTAGGTGGTCAAGCCCTTGAATTTCCATATGGGCATTAATTTTGAACGAGGAAAATTTTGGTCAAAAAAATTTTCGTCAAATTCTGAGATTCACCCTGTGAAAAGCCATTCGACATGGGTTGACCTATATCTCGGTAACGGTTTGGCCTAAGAGACTACAAATTTTAGGCTTTTACAATTATCCATAATGCCAAACAGCATGAATTTTGAAAACGAAATTTTCATCCCAAAGTTTCACCCGACGTTTTCATGGTGTCATTCCTTAATCCCATTTTTCATTATAACGTATGTTCAGTTTAAGAAAAATTTTGGGTCCTCCGAAAAACGCTATAACGGTATTTAACTTTATATCAGCCAGATAGGTAAACTTATCAACCAAAACAGAAAAAGGAGGATATGTTTTTCCACCCAAAACACAAACCACATACAATGACATTTCAAATTTCTGTGAATGTTGAGGCTCCTGTAGAATGATGAGGACTAGTCGATAGATGTCGACAGATGTCGAACTTAAGACTGAAGTTAGGAAATGTAACATCGTATCTCTTGCTATCACTTGCATCCCTCATGTATTTTGAAAGAACCTTACAATGCTCCTTTACCATCGATAAGGCCACAATATCCCCAGAGTTGTTTCCCAATCTGTATCTGAAATGGAATATAGATTTTTTTAACGTTTACAGCCTTTTTCAAATGCACTTCATCGTAGGATGTCTCACTAGCTGCATGATAGCAGAGCTTCAACTAAATTCCCATTACCCTCACACCACAAAAAGCATTCATTGCCCATTAAAGAATCTCTCGAATTTTTGTAGTCAGTGTTTGAAATGTGATTCAGGACTGCCAATACACATGAATAAGTTCCAGGAAATGCTGAGTTGGTCAAGTTTTGCTCAATGAAGAAACTCATTATTACAGAGATGTTTGCATCAACGTCACAGAACTGGATTCATGCAGGGGAATGTTGTAGTCCACGAACATCTGTAACAATCTCTAGTACAATATCGTGCATGTAGGATTTTGCAAGTTATGAGGAAACGCTGGGCAATCCCAAAATTACTTTAAACATTAAATATATTTTAATTATTGAAAAGGTATGTTTAATTCAAAACTTTCATGATCATAGCTAAAGAGAAATTCGAAACAGGCCATTTTCTCTAGTCAACTAAACCCTCTTCCCTTAGACCCTCACGCGACGGACGCGTAAGTTTGTCTGGAGCATAAATGATTTATGACTCAATTACGCCAAAACTGGTTCCACAATAATGGGGAAATTGGTGAAATACTGAATGTGCCAATGAATATGTTCAAGTAATCACAGAAGTCCACATCTTTGTGTGTTCCTCATTTTCTTCCAGGGTGCAATCGGCATTGTGGAACTGGAGGTCTTCATCATTGCAGTCCCAAGAGTCTATCCCTTGATATGCTTCACTCTCCTCATCTTAAATTGCTCTGTTTAGCCAAATCACCATTCAATAACGTTCCTAATAGTATAAAATGTGAATTACTGTTTTCCTTACAAAGAAAAACTTAGAAATATGAAAAAAAGAGAACATTAGGACATCTTTACTTCTTGTATTCACTGCTATATCTGGCAAGCCTCAGTTTCTTTATCAACTATTATCCTCTCACATCGACTTGAGATTGGAGACTTGTATCCAGCAGGGCAGGATCTATTTCTTCTCATCCATCCTCCCCCCCCCCCTCCTCCCTCCCTCCCCATTTGAATATCCTAGACGCGTAAGAGTTTCCAGAAATTATTTTCTTGTCTAAATCCAATTTTTCCCGAAAATAAACAATCTGGAGCTTGTTAGACGTCAGCAACCATTTTAGGATGTCATCGCCTTTGAGTCGATTTGTTGTCTCGAATTTGAGCTAAAATTAGCTGAGCTTAAATTTCTTCCATCTTATCCAGAATCGTTTCAATTTTATTGCATCAGAGTTGCGATGGCGATATGAGATTTCCAGTGTTTCATCTTCAAGCCTCGCATGTTTGGTAGAACCTCAGTATCTTTCAATTTATCAATAGCTTCATCAGAATTGGACCAATGCATGATTTCTTTAGCAATACTCGCCAATATGCACGTTCAACAAATTTAAGTTCACTTGAACATGAACAATATTCATCTTCATCTTCAATGTATGAAATTTTCAAAAAGTTGTGTACTGGTGTTGCATCCTTTCCTTAACGCCGTTTTATCGCGTTGAAATTAGAAGGGAGTTAATTCAGGAATGCTTTACTTGCGAAATAATGCAGTTTTTCATGATTCATCTGAAAGTACTTTCCCCATATATCGATTGTTTTACAATAATGCAGGAATTGAATCTTAACCCTTTCGGTACTACGAACGTTACTGTTACATTAAAAATAATCTGGCCTACGAACGTACATATACGTTTCTGATTTTCAATTCGCAGCTCCTACGAAGTTTTAGATTCGTTTGTTTCAAAATTACTTTTGAACGTTCCTGGGGATAATGCTTACTTGTCTTTGCTGCCATCTATCGCTATGTACTCTATAAGGGTTAAGGTCTCTGCCCCCTACTTTCAATGGCACTAAGAATGATTTACTCCTCCTATTCGAACAAGTTCGTAACACTTCAACTAACCAATTTCCCCCAAAAAAATCGCTGCAGACGTTGCACGCATATTGATGTTGCACACAAGTTAATGAAGTTCAGCTTCCTTGAAAAGCTGAAAAAGCTGTTATCGTTGGCGTGAAAATAAAGATTCAGGTCACCTGTAGCACTTGTGTCACTGCAGATGCTTGGTTGGCTTTGGAAACTCCTGATAGCATGCAGTGTTGCCAATCGTCTAGCACCGCGCGATGGCTCAAGTTAATGAGAACATCTACACCTAAACCTGAAACAACGTCACACTGCAAAGATGCGAGAATGCAATCAACAATTACTGAAAATTCATGGTAATATGATAAAAACGTGTGGAGGCAGGTCCTCATAGAGATAAGAGTATTTTTGGGACCAGTAAAGGCATAAACGAAATAGTGCGGGCATCATCATGAATCCCGCCGGAATGCGCCAGTAAAACTGATGAATATCCGAGAACTCTTACATTGACTCCTCAACTAGACCTCCCCTCTCTCGAGCACGAGACGGGAAGGCTGCCCGAGACGAACAGGGACAGGGCAGAGGAGGGACTCCGCTCCGAGTTCCAGTCCGGGATAGCAGCGACTCGAGAGAAGACTGGCTGATATTCTCTTCCAGGTAGGCCCATTACACTCTTCTTTATTTTTCTTTCAACAGCATCACCCGTATATGTAGGTCGCACTACGGCGCGACTCTCGCCGGCGACGGTCAATTTTTCTCTCTCTGTCATCCCCAAATATTAAATACCTTCTCCTAGTAACACTCGTTTCACGTAAATCTCGGAGTGACATCCACTGATGACAGGATGAAAGAATGGAATAGTTTCTTAAAAGGGCCTCTTTCTCTCGATCGTAGCAAGTAGCCTCCGTTTTTCGTCAGAACGCAAGAACTATCCACGTTCTCATTCATCACCACTAATGAGTGAGAAGTTCCAGTTGTACAAGCGGTATTCAAAGTGCAGCCCAATTTCGATTTCCATGCGGCTCACTAACACATACGAATTAGCTTTTGCGTATTCAACTTTGCAGAAATTTAGGATTTTTTCATGCGGCCCACTCCAGCTTGACGCCCGGTTCATATGATCCTCGCCTCATGAAGTTAAAGCACGACAAAAACTACAGCACTCCGAGGGTGTGGAATGCACTGATATGCCTTTATCAGGAAATCTTGTCGTTCGGAGAAGTTCGCCTCCTCTCCCTTATCTACCCTTCTGTTGAAATCCTTCCATGACCCACGTTTTCGAATGCCCAATTTCATGAGAACAAAAAGACTTTCATTTCTCGGTTTCTCACGCGCCTTATTTCGTGTCCACTGGAAAAGAGAAAGATGGGCTGTGAAACCGAGGTAACGAACATCTTTACAGCACAACAGTTTTCACTTCCACAAAACACGGTGGACTTACAAAAAGGAATATCTAACTGCAGCCTTCATGCCCTTTTACACGTGAGAGGGAATAAGCGAAGACAAAATATCTGCTCCTATGACCCAATGTGCGAGTGCAACCTAAGTTGAAGAATGAGAATTCGATGCATCAGCTTTCATGTCCTCGAAAACGCGTAGAACCAAGCATCAGGAAGGTGAGACGCTTCCGCACATTTACATCTGATGTTTTCGTCTTACATTTTTTCTAGGTCTTGTTGTCTAAGATCTGTGAGATCATTCTGTCTGAAGTTCTGCCCAACTGGATAAGAAACACCCACGCAAACAGCATAAACCATTCTTCCACCCGCTCAAAGACAAAATGAAGGGGAGTTCATTCGCCGACTCAAATCGAAACCTGCATTCACAGTGGCGTTTCTTCCATGATATATTCTGATCAAACTACATAACAGAATTTCCTGTGCCCCACCCATTCTCATCTTCAGAGGTCTACCGTCGATAATCACCAAGAAAGTTCAGTGACAAATGGGAAGGACCTGCCGGCAATTACAGGTACTTGCCCGGTACAAAGCGGTCTTAATTTAAACATGAGATGTCTCGTACCCACTTCGTTAAACAGACGACCAGTACTGGTCTGACTCGGCAGGTCAAATGACAGTCATATGTATTACCCGTATTCATTATTCTTTTTTATATATTAAAAAAGTGGAGGTTCTCGCATGTCAGCTAATGGTAGAATATTCCGTCGCAAAAAGATGCTTTCCGATTTTTCTTGTAGAAGTTCCTTTCCTTTAGAAGTTTAGAAGTTGGAAGTTCCTAGTCATGAATTACCAATTTCTTGCGCCTATACTCATCGAGTTCATAGCGCTCGAGTTCATTCCGTAGAACAAGATAACAGGATGAAGATAGATGGCCTATGCACTTGCAGGAGATAAAAAGTGGACTGTGCTCAAGCCGGAGATCCAACGATGGGGGATGAGGAAGGAAAAGAGAGATTGCACGAGGAGTTGAAAGGCAGCAACCATGTGATAGAAGGGAAGGACCTGCCGACGTACCTTCTTCCATTCCAGGAAGTCTCGACCAACCGGTACCGATTGGGCGAAGATCATGAAGACGACCGATGTCTTAATGTGATTCTGCTCGGCGTGACGGGATCAGGTAATCTCTCGCGTCAGGCATCATGGTTCCCTGGGAAAAAAAAAAGATCGTCTGGAACGTGCTCGCACTCTTCGTCGCAGGGAAATCGATGTTGGAGGAGGCGATGGGGAATTACGTGCTGGGAGTGGATTTCCAGGATCCCTATCGGTTCCAGGTGAAGAAGGAACACGGACCCACGGCGAGCATCACCTCGTACACCTTCTTCACCAGGGACAAGCAAAAGATACCCTGTCCCATCACCATCATCGACACCCCGGGATTCCAAAAAGGGACGCCCGAGGAGGACCAACGGTTGATGGAGGACATTCGCGATTTCATCCACTCGAACTACCCGCTGGGCATCCACGCCGTGGCCTATGTTGTACCAGTATCTCAGGTTCCTTCCCCTCTCCTTCCAGCGAGATATGCGCCATCCTAAATGTGTATGGCAAACAGATTAACAGGGAGAGGGTAGACGGGCTTTGAGAACACGTGTAAATATTGTGAAGCATCCAGCAATGTGTCTCCTGCCAGTATCATGTCAAAGTTAGGAGGCTCTCATTTTCTGAGACGCAACCGACACATAGCAAACAAATCATGAGGTTATCATTGTGATATCACTGTTTTCATTATCCCTGTGGTACCGAAGGCTCCCTTTCAGAACCACCAATTTCAAGATCTTTACTCAGAAGCTTTCTCAAATAACGGCCACCTTAGCTTCACCACAGCATATCAAGTTATCTGCTGATTTGTTTGCTTTGTGTCACATGTGTTTCTACGCACATTGAGAGTTCATGAAAGAAGTGAATGTCTACGTTTACCGTGTTACTGGTTAGGCATGTAATATTTTCTCAAAGAACCAGGGTTCTCCTGCCCCAACCCAGCCCTGTAATGTAGATATGCTTTTTCCGATAATATATCTGTCTCGTCCTTATGGACAGGGGAGATTGACGGCAGAGCAGAAGATGGTGCTGGAGAACATGGCGGAAGTCTTGGAAGAGGAGTTCAGCAACAACTCCTATTTGTTCTGTACATTCGCGGACGGCAAGCTCATCCCCGTCCTAGAATCCCTGAAAGAGTCGAGGCTGGCATTCAAAAGTAATTTCCCCGTTAACAGTTCTGCCTATTTTGCCAAGGAAAACGAAGAACAGGAGTCGTCGGAAGACGACGGCCGAAGAAAGAGTGAAACGAATGTCAGGTCCATCAACGAACTGCTTTGGAAGGTGACGACAGATAGCATTCAAGAATTCATTCAGGCCATCCAGATGAATAATCCAATCCAGGTCAGGGAACCCGAAGACCCAAGCGAAAAGAAAGATGAAGTAATAACAATAGAAGACGCAAGCCATCCCCCCGGAGTTGCAGGTGAGCCCCCGAGAACGACAATCCCTTCCATAGGTAGTATTTCTCGCAGTAATGTTATAATCTGCGCTTGAACGGAGTGCAGGTGAGAGTGTGCCTCTGCTCTCGGGCACATCGAACGGCGAGGGATCCGCTCGACCCACAGGCCGGAACCTGGCTCTACCCGAAGGAGGCGAGTCATTCCTCAACCGGCTCCGCCATTTCGTCATTCAGGGGTTTAAAACGCTGTTCAACTGGATCCCGGAATTCGGAGGCTTCTATCCTCTTTGTAACTTGCGCGCAGTAAGAGAGCGACCAGATACCGATATCGCCTGAGATGTTTCCTTCCCTTTTCATTCGCTCGGTCGTCATTCACCTCTTCCTGTCGTCATTTTTAGAAGTCTCGATTAAAATATCAGCCCCATACATCTATGAGAGAACGGTGGGCTAGGCCGCTTAAGGCCACGAACATGAATAAACAGAGTGGGTAGAATAACAACGCCTGAGTTTCAGTGTGCAGCGCCAACATATTTTTGTGCCGTTTTCTTTCTAGCTAGAGCTGGAAAGAAATTACTGAGGGGCAACCGGATAGTAACCAAACCGGCATTCTTCTGAGAGCCGCTGGAATTCTACCCAGTTACATCGGTTTATGGTTCTAAACCGCCATGGAGGACGTGAAAATAAGAACGATCGCACTCAGAAATGGGATTGGAGGAGGGAAATCCAAATGAAATTCCAGCCAAATTTAGTCGAATCAGAACCTGAACAGAAACAATAATTATGTGTGTTAATTTTTGTTGTATCTTTAAACAGAAGTAAGACTGACGGGATATTCTCGATTCCCAAATGAATCATTCGCAAAAAGTTCACGATATCCAGCACGGGAAGCATCACCTCTCCATATGATATAGAATGAGATCCAGCACAACTGTAGCTCTGCGAATGAGGCTTCTTCCACCAATATGTTCACATACCCTCGTACTGTAAAGAAATGCAAAGAATTCATGCATTTTCGAAACAGCTCATCCCTATTTGATGTGGTTGCAGTTCGAGCAAGCCCAGGAGCATCATTCAGTGTTCGCGATCCTGAACAACGAATTCAAGCTCGACAGGTGGCATAACGAGCTTCGAGTGGCCAAGATTCGCGATGTAGTCCGTCCACCTTGCACGCAGGAAACCGATTGGTCCCTTGCGGGTCGTTTCGGATCGGAAGACTCTCTATGGGGATCTCTCGGGAGGCGGGAGGCAAGAGAGACACGCGTCCGAATCGATGGGAGTCTCTCGATCCGAACGCGTGGCTGTGAGAACCAAAGGTTCTCAAGGGTGACGACGTTCGGCATCCTATCGTTCGGCGCGACGTGGGGAGGAAAATGCTCTTAAAAATTGAAGGTTTCGCCTCCTTGGATATCATATTCGGGGACCACGGTCCTCCAAAGTTTCCGTTAAACTGCGGAAGCCCTGGAAATGTAGATGTCGTTCTCGTCTCCGTACCGCCCGTCACTCGACAACTGGACCCCGAGATACTCAAACTTCACCATCTGGTCCAGTGGGGCCCCTCTAACATGTAAGGCGCACCGAACGGGACTTCTCGCGAGGAGTATAACTCGCGTTTTCTTGTGGGTTACCAATATGGACCAAAACTCGCACGACGCATTCGGCTCGGGAGTCTCATAAGGACCGCAATAGTCATTCCAGGGTGACTATCGATAAGTTGGCACCGGGTCTCGGGCAGTACGACGTTTGTGCGTGCGTCGGACCCCATCGTGCTAAATCCAGACCTATTGGTCCGCTTGCCCCTGGCAATAGCGCAATTTCCGTATTTCTGGGTCTGCACCTGGAAAAGGATACTTTCCAGCAAGTCTTCCAGCGCGGTTCGAGAATGCTTAATTTTACCAACCACTTCACCTATTCAGAGATAATTTTTTCAGCTTGCGGACCGCATCGTTTCAACACCAGATGCAGAACCCTTTCAATTAACCTACTCAGACCGAATTGAACTTCATCAAATTGAACCGAACTAAAATGAGGAAAATCACGACGTCGCACCCTGATACAACCTAAACAAACCTAAACCATTCATGATTCGTTCGATCTCTAACAGCATTCTACGACAGATATAGCCAGCAAATGCAAAATTCACGGATGCCCGTGAAAGTGAAAATACGACGGGCACGAACATGAGAAGCGTACTGAACGCAACAAGGAATTAACGAAGTACAGAACGAATCAACGAAGGATGCCGATCCGATCCTTCGCCCAGGGCCGGTCGGAGTTTGCCACATGTGCAAATTCGCAAAACGTGACCGAAGCAATAATAGAAGCTACTATCGGTTTCACTTGAGAAAGTCCAAAATGCCTGCCCTTTCGACGCTAGGGATCCCATACTCCCTCCCCTGCGTTCCCCGGAGAGTCGTCAGGCTCTTCCAGACCGACACGAGGCTGAGAGCATCTCGTAGTTTCATGAAAGTGAAATCTGAGAGCGCTCGCATCGCATCCATTGATAACGTAAATCACCCTATCGCAACGATCGTGGTTCTTTCATGAAGGTGCCACGTGTTGCGCATGACTTACAACCGGTGAGTTTTGTATCATCCATCGTGTGCCTGCCTCGGGCTCTTGGCTTCGGGCTTCAACGCATATTTTCATCACCGGCTTTTCAGTTATGATGAGAATGGAATAACGGAGGGGAGCGTAAGAGTAGCGTGAGTGGAAAAAGTGTGGAGGGGAAGGGGCACAGGACTAAGTGGAAGGGGCCGCGGGAACTCTGGGATACTGTTTTCTTGCCTTTCTGGGTGTTTTACACGATCAAAAAATTGGTGGGTCAAAACATTGCTTTATATTGTATAAATACCTCTCCTAAATTTGGTCTGGACATGTTTAAGAATTTTTGAGATTTGGAATTTACATCATAGGTGTCATTTGTGTGTTGGCCATCTTGGACCACGTGACCTAATTAGCATAATTGGATCATTCCAATTAAATATTTTCTTCGAGTCATTATGGTCTTACATGCAAAGTTTCGAAGTCCTTGAGAGCATAGTTTGATTCCTTTCATCTAGGGCAAGGGTTGGGAACCTTTTTGGCCATGTGAGATTAAGATTGAGCCAAGTGCTCCTGAGCCAAAGATTTTTGAAAAAAAACTTTTTTCCTTAAGTTGGCAACAAACATGCATTCTCTACATGAAAAAAAATGAGGAACAGCCATGTTTTTTAGCCATTACTTATGAGCCAGACTTTTTGGTTCGTGAGCCAAACTTGGCTCATGAGCCATAGATTCCCGAACCCTGATCTAGGGTTATAACTAACCTTAAGAGAACCTCCCGATCCCAAAGCCTTCGCCATCGGTACAATGTCTGCATTCCCTTCAGAATTCTCGCAATCCTAGTAACTGTGGCTTCAGCTGAGCGAAGCGCTTCGAAGTTAAAGCGCGTCCAAACATGACCTAGGTGAGATCTTAAAAGATACATTTAAAATAATTAGATCTGCGGAGAACTGGATCATGCGAAGCTTATGACGATGCTTGCCGAGCGGACAGATCGCAAGGTCACCTTCAAGTGATACGTGGTGTTGAGTCCATTAAACTGTGTCCCTTCTTCAAAGTAAGCAACAACTTTCTATCAATCTTTTTTTTCTTGCTTGATAGGCTGTTAACGCAAAAGGGGTCCCTATGAGAGCCGCATTGAATTGCGAGCATAGGTCACTAGTCGATATTTGAGTAACACAATACCCCATTCCAATTAAAATGTGCGTGTGTGTCAGGGGAGGGGGGGGGGGGGGACTGGCAGCTTCCTTGCACAGGGCGCCGAAATAGCCAAGGCCGGCCCTGCCCACACCTAGGATTATGGACACTATGAGCCCGTTCCTATATCTTCTCCGATTCCCGACGAGAGCTAATGCTTTGTCATTCTGCTCATTATTCCGAATCGGCGGTTCGATCTAGACTTTTCTCCACTCGGAAAACATGCGAGCCACTGATCGCAGTCACGAAGCAAGTTCATGATACCTTCATTACGAAAACTTCACACAAAAGAGATGCCCGAAAGGCGCTGGGGGAAAAAACCGCATATTTTGTTCCACATGAAAAATACCCGATGTGGAACCCACCCTTCTGCAGGCATCATGCAAGCTGGCTGGTAGGCGTGGTAAGGCGAGACTTCTAAGATTCGATCTGCCTGGTCACGGGTCGTGGTGCTCTCTACTCCCTACATCAATACAATTCCAACAACAATCTTAAGGCGGTAAGTACCAATTTGAGATGATTGAGGTCAGGTTCAGGTTGAATCTCATTGTGCATGGCAGATAAGATGATACAAGCACATCCAAGATTTTTACATCTCTGCATGCCATAAAAATTGCCTTTCACTTTTATCCACGAACCACCAAGAACAATAACGCAGCACGTCATTTCAGGAAGAAAACAGCGGCGTTACAGAAGAAAGAACTTTATGAGAAGAAAATTAAACAACAGTGGCACAGAAATAACGAGACACGATCACATCGCATACTACATTATCCCATTTCCATTTCTCTCACTTAATTACCTTCACTTTCCCATTCATTGGACGAGGAGCCACAGTGGCTTTTCTCGCTCGAGTAGCCATGTTGGCTTTCTTCACCCAAGTCTGTTTTGGTCCACATCAAAGTGCTGGGAGCAGATGCTTGCAAGAATGCATTCAGCCTGCACGACAGGGATCCCAGCCCTTGTGGCCTTTGCCCAAGCATTCTTCACCTTCTTGTCTTGGTCTTTGTCCTCTGGGCAAGATACCATAACGATCTGGAGACCCTTGAGTCTAGCAGGAAGACTTTCCACCACCTCTCCCTGACTCATCTCGATCAAATCTGGCAGGCAAACGATGACTGTCAGTAAAGAGTACTATTTACAGGACGATATGAAGGGAAAAGGTCATACTGGTAAGGATATGGCGAGAGGGTAGCACGCCATCGGTGATGTAGAACTTGTATCCGGAGAAGAGAGGCTCTTTCTTGTGCAGGGATTTAGCCAGATTAAATTTGAAGGTCTGTTCACCTTGTTTGTCAACCAACAAGTGCTTCCAGGGATCTGAAAACCAATGAGTTAATATAAGTTTAGGGAAAATCAACGATAGAAATTGGTAAAATGGAGTCCATGTTCAGTTATGAATATAGTCAAGAAATCCATGCACAATGAATACCATCATTACAGAGACTTCGTATGAGAATGGGTTCAAGTAGAGGATGATGACACTTGTAGGCGTCAGCAAAAGGAACCTTGAAAATTTATTGAGTGGAACTGGAAGATGACCAAGAGAGAATCTTCAGAACAAGCATTTCCAAGGTCAGTTGAGAGTGAATTCAAAACCTTCATGCTTCAATTCATGCTTGACTCATTTAGTTTTTTTCAAAAATTTCAGGAATTTTATCTCTGATGAAAATGTGAATTCTAAGATATCAGGCATGAAGAGGGTTTGGTTCCCATTTTCAAGCAAATTTGGCAACTGAAAAATCCAGACTGCAGATCAAAATCAGCACAAATGCTTGCAGGCCAGTGGCATAGCATCAGGGGAGCCAGCATGTGCCCCCCACTTTTCAAGAAAAGAAGCCAAAAAAAAAAGACAGGAAAAGACCTATGAAATGCATAACAGTATCCCAGAGTTCCTTCGCCCTAGCACTTTTTCCATCCACATTACATTTATGCCTCAGGAACAACTACAAGGGCAGGTAGTGCCACCCTTAAAGCACTCAACAGCTGGAAGTAAAAAATGATAACAGAGAAAAATCTTGATATTTAAGGTCACTTTGGCTTCCTCCCCTTATTTTCCACAAAAAAGCATCAGCACCTACCAAAGAGTATGAAATAATAATTGGCCAAATTTTGCCAGACACCTGTAAACACATAGTACCTCCAATTTTATTTTTATGTTGGGCATAATATAGCAGAAGAAAGCAATAAAGTTGCAAAAATGTTGCAAATCAACACATTTTCCAGACTTAACTATTAGGCATTTTCAGGATATGACCAATAAAATGTGATGGTCTCATGGAATAACAATGTTCCAAAACTTTCAGACCCAGACATGCATTCTGTCAGGTGCTACACCAAACAACTGAGTATGGAGGAACTTTTACCAATGAAACATTTTCATTCCCAGGGGAAACAGCACCTGAATGATGTCAGAGCATAAAAGTTTTGAGAAGCTGCAAATGGAGAAAAGGCTCTCCATAGCCAGATAAGATGAACAGACCAGAGAAGGCACTCTGCATTCTAGACTCGGTGAGCCATGTGATGGGCACTATCGGCACCTTTCTGGCTATAGCAGCCAGGAACTTGTACGTCCGGTGAATGCAATCCGTCACGAGGACGTTGAACTCTTTCTCGTCTGTAGTCACTCTTCCTCCTGGATCATTCCGGTGGAAGAGATTCAGTTATGCATAATGCAGTCCTGAATAAAAACCAAAAAAGCAGTTTCTGATGAAGCACCCATATTGGTGATGGCCTTCTGAAGGAGATCCGGAAGTACGATCCCAGTCGTCATGATCTTCCAATCTCCCGGTCCCGGTCTCACATCCACCCGAGATGACTGGGGATGGAGAGTAAAGAGAAAAGTTACATTGTATCAAGTGTGTCATTAAGTGGGACATTAGCCAAGAAAAGCAAGACTGGTAAACAAGAGGAAATTCCTCCTCACTTTGCGAACAGGGGAGGAGCCAACAGAGGATCTTTGGGAACTGGTACGCCTGGACTTCTCCCTCCCTCTGCTAACATCACTGGATGACTCCAATTTTTCCTGTAAAAAACCACTCAATTTCAGTCTGGTTCATTTGAAGGCCTGTTAAGGAGAGGAGAACGTCAAACACAATGATAAAATCATTCTAAAAGCGGGAAATCCATCAGTGTATCACCTGAAGAAATGTTCAATAATGAGTTCAATAGTCTCTTAAAATGTCTTAAAAGCAACATAGTGGAAATAGCCCAAACCATGGCTTAAGTGGTAAACACAGACCAATTCCCTCTGAGCTAAATTGGTTCAGACCATCCAAAATAGATGCACAGGGAAAAACTATTAACTGCAATGCTTAACATTGAATTAAGCCATACATGAGAAACTTATGGCAGTACCCTGCTTGAGCACTAAATATCATGAGTGAGCCATCAATTGGGAAAGTTACAGCGAAAAAAATTACAAACATTCTACTAATGGAATATCAACCCAGTCTCAGATTGGGGTGGTACCCCATTTAAAAGGTTCAGGCAGTCAAGTGAGAGGTACAGGGCAGTGTAAGTCTCTTACTTTAGGATTAGGTGGTGTGAATATAGCCTCTTTCTTCATAGTTCTAGGATTCCTCCTTCTAGGCGAGGCAGAAGAACTTTGGGATCGTGTCTGTCTCTCTGTATCCTGAGAGGATATCTCTTCTGATGGAGACTTTCCTCTTCTGCCTCTTTTTTTTGGAGGCATCTGTCTGGAGTCCACAACTGGTTGAGAGGCTTTGAATGAAGCCAAAGAATCTCTGGGTTGTGAGACTCTCTTTGAATCCTGGGGAGTTGCCATTTCTTTCCTACCTCTTTTTCTCTGAGATGCCTGTATGGAGTTATCACTGGGTTGATTAGAAGTTTTGGATATAGCAGATGAACCTCTAGATCGTGTGAGTCTCCCTGAACCCTTGGGTGATACATTTTCTTGCAATGTCATTTCTTTTCTGCCTCTTTTCCTAGGAGGGGATTGAATAGAACGACGTGAAGGACTGGCTTCTGGCTCAACTTTTAGGGGCTGCGTGGACTCGTCACGGGAATGAAGAGATGTCTTGGATGCAGCAGAGGAATCTCTGGATCGTGTGAGCCTCCCAGAAACCTGTGCAGATGCCACTTCATGTGAAGCTCTTTCCTTTCTACCTTTTTTTTTAGGAGGGGACTGCATGGAATCAGTGATGGGATGATAGGAAGGACCAGCTTCTACCTGGCCCTCCCTGTCTGCATTGCTTCTTTTACCCACTGATCTCTTCAGCCTGCTCCCAGCCTTCAATGGAGGAGAGACTCCTCTATCTGGAGTAAGTTGCCTTGTTAAGTGAGAGCCACGTCCTGATCGCCTCAATGGTCCTTTTTCCTCCACTGATTCTAACCTTTCATTTCCTTCTCTCTGCTTCTCCTTCTTCATTCTTTGACTTCTCTTTTTTAAAGTCGAAGTAACTTCTTCTCCTATCAGAGCCACAGCAGGGTACCCCTCACTTGCAATTTGATCATTTCCTCTACTTCGAAGGCCCCAAGGTTCTCTTGGTCTTACCACTGGCTCATTTCTGCTTCTGGCTCGTGTCTCACGAGTGTTCCTAGATGCAGCAAGTACAAGCTGCTCTTCTCCATCTGATCTCTCCTGCATCATCTCTTGTTCCTCCGTGACCCTATCCTGTGCTTCCTCTGAATGCTCCTCATTTGCAGTAGCCAGTTTACCTCTCCCTTTCCCCTTACCTTTTCCCCCTCTCTGTCCTTTGCATTGCACAGGGGTTTCAATTCTTCCAGTAGCTTTATCAAGAGAAGATGAACTGGAAAGTCTTTCACCCTCTTTATCAGACCTTTTGTCAATTGTTTCCTTTGCATCCACAACAACATCATGATGCCCCTTTGCAGCAGCAGCAGACTGACTTCTTCCCATCCCCCTAACCTTTCCTCTTCTCTGTCCATAGTCCCTAACAGAGGGAAGAACTTCACAGGTGGGAGTGACTGAAGATGAACTGGTTTGAGACCGTCTGTCCCTTCCTTCTTTTGGTTCCTTTGGAGTCAGTCTGACATTTGTGGACAAGTCCTGATGCTTCTCTGATGGTCCTTGTTTCAGGGATGCAAGTTGACTACTTTCCATTTTTCTCCCTTTTCCCCCTCTGAGACTCCGTCCCTCATCCTTGGCATTCAAAACACTACTACCAGCACTGGGACTTGAAACCTTCTTCCTTTTCCCCTTTACTTCCAGTTCAATTTCATGTTCTCTCTCAGAATCTGGTTCCTCAGTTTGTTTTTGCTTAGCCCTCCCACTTCTCATACTTCTCCCCTGAGAAGAATCATTTGAGACAGAGCCTTCCATGTCCTCTGGGCTCTTTTTCCCCCTGGACCCTCTTTTTCCTGGTTCCCTGCTTCCCTGGTTCACATCAGATACAGAGGCATCCTCCTGTGTCTCGGGAACCTCTTCAGGCTTGGCCTTATCCCTCTTCACTGTTCTGCCCCTTCTTCCCACAACAGGAATCTCAGATGTCCCTTTACTTTTGTTCTCAGCTAGGGATGCTGGGAGTCTCTGTCCTCTGATGTTTTTTCCTGTTGGTGCCTCCTCTCCTGCCTTCAATTCCTCCCCAACACAAGACTCCTCTTTCTTAGTAGGAGGAGGAGCCATACTACTTTCTCCATTCTCTTCTTCCTGATTATGCTGATCACTCCTCCCTTCTTTAATGTCAGAGTCTTGCTTCCCCTTCAGATTTCTCATTCTTCTGCTTCTGCTCTTTGGTTCCGATTCTTGATTGCTCAGGGATGCAGAGGACATTTCTTCATCATGAAGTGCTTCTCTATGTTTCTCACTGTCCTTTTTACTAAGAGTCTTGGATTCAACCATACTTGCATCTTGTTTAGTCTTTGTTCTTGTTGACTTGTGATTTCTTCTTTCTGATGTGCCTTCTAAGCTGTCACTCCCTTCCAGGGCCTCCACTCCCTTCTTGGTCCTTCTACCTTGTCTAATTTTTCTTTCATCCAGTTGCTCTGGCACTTCTTTAGTTTCCTTGGCTGCAATCTGACGTGATTGTACCTCTGAGCCATCTAGGATCTCCATTGTACCAACTTGACTTTGCATTGTACTAGCCTCTCCCAGTTCTTCCTTCTGATCTGAGGATAGAGGACACTCTGGAAAAACACCTGCATGCAAGTCAGCCAATTCCTGAAGTCCAACAGCCAATTCCTGTGAGGGAGGGACTTGGGAGGAACCTGCCTCAGCATTCCCTCTTGCCCCATCATCCTCATTTGGATCTACCATCTCAAGAGTCTCTGGTGGGGTACTTGTTATCATTTCACTGGATACATCATATCCTTGGGTTGGAACATCCTCATCATTAAATGCATCCACATGAACCTCAGCTGCATGCTTCAGTTTCTCCAGAGCTGACATAGGAAGATAACAATCACTACTGCAGAGGCTGTCCTGGGAAGAACTGCTCTTCTGACCCTGGGATTCCCCATTTGATGATTTTTCTGTGTCCCCTGACTCCTTTGATTGCTCGTATCTGAATCTGAATTTTTTTCTTGGAGTATGATCCTTACTGGAGTGAGAAGCAAGGACAGTGTCCTTGGTTTTTGAATCACTCCCATATGGTGCTGTTTTATTGGTGCTGGAACTTCCTTTGTCCTCTTGCAAGTTTGTATCAGACTCTGCTAAAGCAATACCTTCAGGTGCATGAATTCCAGCATTGGCCTTTTGGTTTGTAGGTTTTGAAGGAGAATCAAGATCTATATCTTTCTCAGTCTTTTTAATAGTATGTGCAGCTGCATCATCCAAATCTGCAGCATTTTGCAGTACCTCCTGAGTTTGTGCATCTTCATCTTCATCATCAACACATCTACTGACCACTTGGGTGGGTGTGTCTTGGTCAATAAGATCATGTTCTCTAGCAGTTTCAGTCAGATCACTATTTTCTACTTCTTCATCTATCTCTCTCAAGGCATGAGAATCAAAGCACTTTCCAAAAGGCTTTCGTACCACCTGAGTTGGTGCATCAAAATCATAGTCTTCTTCATGATGTAATTGGATAGCTTGTGTGGGAGCATCATGATCAATATCATCAACTTTCCTTTGAATCACCAGAGCAGACTCTTCATTACCTTTTCTAACTACTTCTGTTGGTGCCAGGTGATTATCTTCATCACCCTCCTTTGCTGGAAGATCAAGATCTTCATCATCCTCCTTTGTAACAGACACAGAATCCCGTTTGGCTGGCTGAGTTGCAGCATCCAAATCCACACTGGTACTTTCATCATCATCTTCCAGCACATCACATGGCTCATTGCATCCTGCAACCATCTGTGTTGGTGCATCTTCATCAACATGTCTTCTGAACAACTGGGTGGGAGTATCATGTTTTATTTCATGCCTCCAGGCAGATTGATTAAGATCACAGCGTTCCTTTTCCTCATTCACCTCACTCACAGCAAGAGAATCACAATACCTCCCAGGTGGTTTTCGCACCATCTGAGTTGGAGAATCAAAATCAATTTCTTCTTCAAGAAAATGTACTTTAACAACTTGTGTGGGAGCATCAGGATCAACATAGTTAACTCTTTTTTTAATCACCTGGGATGTATCTTCACGACCTCTAACCACCTGTGTTGGGACAAGGTCGATATCTTCATCATCTTCATCTACAGCAGAAGCAGAATCCCTTTTGGCTGGCTGAGTTGCAGCATCCAAATCCACATTGATATATTCTTCATCATCATCTTCCAACACATCACAGGGCTCATTGAAACCTGCAACTATCTGTGTGGGCATATCATCATCCTCTTCAATGACATGGCTTTTAAATAACTGGGTGGGAGCATCATGTTTTATTTCATCATCTCTCTCAACAGATTCAGGCAAATCACTGCCTCCAATGTCTTCATTCATCTCTCTCCTTGTACGAGAATCACAGTACTTCCCAGGGGGTTTTCGTACCACCTGAGTCGGAGAATCAAAATCAATCTCTTCTTCCAGATGATGAAATTTGACTAATTGTGTGGGAGCATCAGGATCAATGAAGTTAACACGTCTCTTAACCACCTGATTGGAACCTCCTGGAGGTCTTTGTACTGCCTGTGTGGATACCACATCAATATCTTCATCATCTCCCTCTGTTACAGACATGGAATCCCTTCTTGCTGGCTGAGTTGCAGCATCTAAATCCACACTGGTACTGTCCTCATCATCTTCCAACACATCACAGGGTACACTGAAGTCTATAGCAATCTGTGTTGGAACATCCTCATCATTATCATGAGAAGATTGACCAGACTGCTGTTTGCTGATGTGCCTTGACGGACTGAAACACAAAGGCACTTTCTGTGCTGTGGCATCCAATTTGATGGATTCTGGAGGATGCTCCTGATCTTCATTATCATGAGGAGGTTCCTCATCAAGCTCATCTCTTCTGGCTGCTGATGGGCTGGATCCCACATCACCCATCTGGATTGGTGCATCATCATCCATGGGTTTCAAAGGCGGAGATGGGATATCTGCATCAAGATCCATTTCCAGAGTGGAACGGCCAGATGACATGTCATCTTCCTCTATTGTTTCCACACCTGACAAATGGAAGTCCTGAGTCTCAGGTTCACTGTCAGTCGAGCCTGATGATAAGTGCTGTGCCGTGTTGGGCTGTGTAGATGCTATAATTGAATCATCATCTTCCTCATCACTTGCAGGGACACATGCAGTTGAATGCTCAGCCTTTGATGGGATGGATAGCGGTTTCTTGGATGGGACTGACTGTGATGTTGGGATGAGACTTGAGTCTGGAGACTTCCCTTCTTCCTGAAAATACAAGAATAACAAACTGTTAAATGACATCCTCCCTCATCTCCAACATAACCCATTGATCAAGGCCAACCACAGCACAATTTCTAACTTGTCACAAATGCTAATAGACAAAAACATATCCAGACCATGCTAATAATAAATGACCATGCCATTCTAAGGAGTTCTTGTGTCCTTTTCACTCATTTCATGCTTCTTATGAGATCATTGTCAGAAATGGTTAGATAAAGTGTGGCCACTATGTTTTACCTGTTGAAAATCAGTCAGGACATGGCACTGAAATGATTACAAGCATCAAAATTCAAGGCCAAATGGTGATGACACTTCAACCTCACCATCCTGACAACCATGATCTGAAAAGGTGAAATGTGAAGTTCACTATTCCAGAAGAAAGGTCAAAAATTTGCCTGAAAATTTCAATGCTTGTGGAAAGACTAAGAGAAGAAAATTAAAGAACAGAAGCAGAGATGCTGAAGAAATCGAAATAAAAACTTTCTATGCTGATGAGTTCACAGAGCAGAATCAACTGCATTTAATCAATTTCAATCAAAAAAATTCATTTTGGGCTCTTTGTAAGCCTGTACAGAGAAGGAAAAAACAAGCATGCAAGTGGAAGTTTTGGCACATCAAATATCAATTTCAAACATCAAATATAAATTTCAATTACTTCTTTTAATTGCCAAGGAACTGTATCCATTATTTATCTCATGAAGTTGGCACTCCTACTTTTGAAAAAAGTTCAACAGATAATTAACCCTTCGACAAGTATGCCCGTATATATACAGGCTGACATCCTCCTGCCCTCCATGTATTCACTACAGGTGATCTAGACGTTAAAAAAACCCACTCCTCAAAGGGTTAAACTTCTGACAGATGTAACATGAGCACTAGCTGATTAGATGCAAATTTAATATTTTGACAATGTGACAATACAAGAACATGAGTATGCCTAACAGTTAGAATTTGGTTAAGCTTTTCAATGACCCCCACAAATGAGAGGCTAAAATGAGCAGACTCACCTCAATGAGATGGGACTCATCAATTACCAATACACTTTTTCTCATTGGTCCTTCACAGTCCTTGTCCTGGGGAGCAAGTGTCTCTTCAGCAAGAACCCTCTCTTCCTTCTCACCTGGTATTACAGGGAAGACATCATCTATCAAGCAAATTTCACCAGGCATAAGGAGAGAAAAAAATCCTACGGACTGGTGTCAGCCTCCTCATCAACAAGAGTGGGAGGAGTGGGAATGGACTGACTGGTCCAGTCCTCTGTTTCAGGAACAGGATCATCAAACTCCATCAATGGCTCATCCTCATCCACATATGCATAGATGCATTTCACATTCCCAAATGTCAATGCCTCCCCATTTCGAAGGAAATACCAAGCCTCTGGTTCCAGAATAACCTACAAGGGATCCATTTTTCCTGCATTCTAAACAACCATCACACATGCACACACTTAATGCACACATTTGCCCTTGCTGGCACAACTCAAACAATACATTTCATGGCAGAGAACATTTGCTGTACTGTAATTGTTAATTACTACATGCAATATAACCTACCCTCATGCCTTCTTCAGCATCATCCTGAACATCGACATAAGCCTATATAGACAAGAATACAATACCTTGCCCATACTAGAGTGATTCCTGCTGTGCAAGTCTTTGACAAAGTGGTTGTGAGCTCTCCCACTCCCTCTCCTCTGTCTGTTAGCACAACGCTCCACTCGAATCACTGCATGTTGTTTTGATATGCCCTGTTGAGTGGAAAAAAGGGGTTCCAGCACAAATTCTCAAATCATGTAAGGCCTTCAGGGAGCACATACATAATGCGAACACCAACATGCATGAATACAATAAATAAATGAGCAGAGAACATGGATTGAGAAGGAAGGAAAATATTGAATGTCCACACATTATATTTATTTATATTTTAGATACATGACAAGAGTCAAGACCACAGGTGGAAGCGGCCAAATGATCTTTAAGAAGAAATTTCCTGAGAAAACACAAAAAGGGTTCTTGTGAGTGAGAAAAGTTATTTGAACTTTGCCTTTTATGCAATGGAGAGTATTATCCATCCAGTATTATTGTCACCATCTGTTAGAGTCAGCTTGCCTTCAGGCCTAGCCAAGAAGGCCTGAAATCAGTCTTCAATTGCCAAAATTCTTATTGGGACCTTTCAATCACAAAAAAATCGAATTCGCAACTTTAAAATGAATATTTTATGATGGGTTAACAATTTTTCATCTGAGGCTGGAGTCCACTTGAATGAACTACAGGAAAAACATTACACAAAGCAACTTCAGTTTCTTAATGGGTATGTTCGGAATTTCCCTCGTCTCCATGACGACATTGTAGCAACAACCCTGCCAAGGAAGTCTTGAGAGACATGCAAATCCACCTTTTGGGGCCATGAGGTGCCATTCCCTTTGAAATCATCCTGAAAGCCAGCCCTGCTGACAGATCTTTTTCGGATTAGGGCGGAGTCCAAGGGGTCACCTTGCTCTGAAGGAGCTAAAGGAAACGGGAATAGGTCGGCCCGAAAGGAAATGGGAAAAGGAGGTCACCCCATCCATTTAGGGTCGGTATTGGACTAGGAAGAACCGAGCACCACCACCTCCGTGGGGGGGAAGGGATTTTTCAAAGATGAAATGCACGTCTCTTGTTCTCCTTTGCACCAAAAGTGGATTGAGAACGAGGCCTTACAGGGCCTCCAGGGAAGCTCACTGACGACACGGTGACGTCTCCGCCTTCCTACGTCATCGTTCCAGGATTTCCCTCTTGTCTCTGTCCCGGTTTTGTCATGTCATGGAATGCGTGAATCGATACTGGGGACTGCCCATCGCAAAGCTCAGGAGAAAGAAAAACGCCTCGGCCTCTCTGTCTCTCTTCCTCCGACCTTATTTAGTAATCTATAATGCTCGAACACTGCAAAATCAGCTAAGGAAATATGCTGTCTTTCATTTCCGGCCATCGACATAATGGGTGGTCATTACACCAGAGAGCTTCTAAAATTGTATGGATTAATCGAAGTACATTCATCGGAATTGGTTTGCGGCAGGCAAATCGCTCGGAAGAAGCGGCCACACACATCTTCATTCCCAAAATGAAAAGTCAAAACGAACGGACTTGGGAGACGGGAGGAACGACAAGATCGGCTTATCACCAGTCATCACAGGTCAACACAGGTCAAGAGGTCAACGCCGCGTTCGACCCCTCCCCCGTTCTTCCGTCCATACGGCTCTAAATCCTCGACCATTCACCGTCCAGGTTCGCTCTCGACCCGATGGCTCCGCTCTTCCTCCTCATCGCCTTCTCGCTCCTCCTTCCCCCGTTAGCCGTCTTTTTATTCATTTCGCGCGTCGCTCGAATGTCCGTGCTTCGTAATACTTATTGGCTATGATGAAACCCGAGGGAAGAAGAGAGACGGAGGGGCTGTCGTGTGCCTTCTGTTTCCGGCACAGGTGCCTCCCGGTCGCGGAGCGGGACTGCCCCCATGGCATCGTCCCCGACATCTGCCGCTGTTGCTCCGTCTGTGCTAAGGTGAGACTGGGACTCAAGGGAGTTTTGAGATTAGATTTCGCCCTTCGCGGCAGCTTCTTGGGCCTTCCTGACGCTTTTCTCCCTTTATGACAATTGGTTTTTCAGGTATGGATTTTTTTTTCATTTTTAAAGCTACCCTCTACTGTTTATATTCTTTTTCCCCCTAAGAAATGAAATGTAAAGTCAGTCCCCGAAAGGTTCACAAGGCCCATGAATCTGTGACTTAGGGTAGAATCATCTCGAAATTCCCAGGGAATTTCGAGATGATTCTACCCTCTCGCCCCCCCCCCCCCCCCCCCCCCCCCNAGCTCTCCCCCCCCCCCCCCCCCCCCCCCCCCCCGCCGCAGAGGGCGCAATACATCCCTCAGATTGCTCAGAGAAATTTCAGTTCAATGCACCGGCATGTGCCTCTCTCTCGGTTATCCTAAGGCCTAAATAAATATATAAAAATTTAATAAAACCCCTTTGCAGGGAGAGGGAGAGAGGTGCGGCGGCCCGTGGAGGGCATACGGGGAGTGCGGCGACGGACTCTTCTGCCATCAGGATTCGCGACATGCCAAAAAGGTAGCTCGGGCGAACGAGCTCAAGGGCTTCCTGGACAAACTACAGCCTGGGACTTGTCTGAAGACACTCTCGAAAGATGACATGAACACGGAAAACGCCACCCATAAACCAATAAATGAAGATTCCGCTCCAAAAATAAATGCAACGTCGCCGAACGCCCAATAGAAGATACCTCTATCTGCAAATTTGGTGAACAAATCCAAGTTGGTTTCTTGACAAAACTGTATGAAAAAAAAGAATAAATAAACGCGACTATTCTGAGATGTAGAGTGTTCGACTTGCTAGTCCTATAGTCACACCACTGACATCAATTAGTCTTGCTATCATCGCCCAATTTTGAAGTTCCCATACTTGGCTGAGTCATGACTGAGCCACCTTGAGTAAAAAAATAATAGTAATATGAAAGTCTCGCATCGCTGGGGACAAGCTACAAGAGTGGGATCTGCCTTTGTGACATTCTGTCAGCACAAGAGTGAACTGAACAACGACGAAGACGAAAAGCCCAAGAGAGTGAGAGATTTCAAGCATTAAGAAACCTGTCGGCCCAAGTTTCAAGATCCAATGCGAAGATGCATGAAGGAACAGCTGTCAAAGCATCATCACAACGCGGTTTATATTCATCTAGATTTCCGCGTACATCATAATGGCATAGTAGTCATGGTAGATATGGCGAAACCCAAGTCTCAGTTTTCTCTAACAAACTAGGTACAAACTAGTATACAGGCAACGGCATGTGCATAGTGCATGTACGAGTATGGGAGGAAACGCCCAGTTCCAGTAAGCACATAACATCTAAGGCAGAAATAATCCTTAATTTTTTTCATATATCACTTAGATTTACCAAAATATATCAGGAAACTGGCCACACTTTCATACTCACGATCATATTTTTAGGGTTGCTAGATTCTCATTTTCCCCCTCACCTACCCATTCTCCCATGTCTACGATCTTGATTTTCCCCGTTTTCAGGACAGCAAGGGAGAAAGAGAGCAGAAACAGAGCAGTTGGTATTTCACAGATCTCTGACGACTCTTTCCCTCAGAAAAATTCCACAATATGCCCCTTTGGGCCTCCGAAAGTCAAATAACTCTTCTCTATTCAATCTTTTGTTGGGAAGATAAGCCAACGGGGTAATGCCTCTTTTCACCATCTTTTGGTCCAAAGAAACTCATTTCTTTCCCGATACGTGCACCATACCATCCATTTGTCTATGAATAACACAGTCCTCATTGAATGTATTGAATGTGTATAAATAGCCATTTCAGACAACCATTGGGAAATAAACTGAAGTCAGTCCAGAATTTCGGATGAACATGAACCTACTCAGCAGGTTCATAGACATGTAGGCAATTAATGAAGCCAGAAAGTTATGTTTGCAGCTTATGATGCATGCTGCCACTTCTATTACAACGAAGCAAAGTCACAGTTGCCACTCAAGACAACCCACAAAAAACCAAATCCTCAAATTTATAGTGGATGCATTAACAAATTACTGTTTTAAGGAGACTTTAGTGACAATTGTTTTGCAGGCCTCCTCATTTTCGTCCACCAGGCCTAACCATTTTATGTGCCATCATTTACATAGGCAGCATTGAAAATAAGTACCAGTGCCTCAAGCACACAGAGGAGTGTGCAACATGGAATCTTCCAAATTATTTCTCAGCCAGTGAGCAAGACTGCTACTTGTTTAGAAATAAAGTTCATGCCAGCCATTGAGGCATCAGAGAAGTGCACCTCAGTTTCCATTGAGTATAATAAAGCATACTGGTGCAAACATACAATGGACTTACTGGGTGGTCAAGGAGTATGTCAACGGACCCATCGGGATTCCTCCCGATGCGATTCTCTCCTTTGTAAATAGGGTACTTTTCAGACTCTGACACGATTAGCTCAGCCACCTGTGAAAGGTAAACAAGTCCAAGCATGATTTCCTTAACCTCCAGAACATAGCAGAAACAAAGGGTTAGTCTCATCCACCTTTTTCCCTTCTTCCTCTTCATCTTGTGAGGAAGAATCATCCAATCCTAGATCTATTACTTGAGTCGCAGGAATTTCATCCATATCTGAAAAAAATTTTCACTCAATCTCTTCATAATTTCATATGATGGATCATACCAAGATGAGAAAAATAACAATGCCAAGCACAGCAGCCTAAGACATACGGCAAAGGGGACCATTCTGTTCCCTTGTGCACACATAATGGGAGAAAAAGTAAAATGCAACTAAGCCCTTCACTCAGCTGAACAAAAGACAAACTTTATTCAACTGATAAGAAAATTTAAGAAGCATAAAAAAGAATGAAGGTTAGAGCAGAGAAAAAGATTATTGCACAATGTTATCACCAAGAGTTTGGCCCAGATCCTGGAATATCTTTCAATTGAATCTGAAATGTAGTCAACAGTTCATCCCAACCTGAAAAATAAAAAAATACATACAAATGAATCAAATGAGAGAAGAAACAGAACAATTTTATAGCAGCAATAATATAAGATGATGATGGAGGGGGCTCACAAGTGTCATCAATCTCGACCAATGCTGTGTGTTGCTGCAGGTCGGTCAAATCGGACAATGGCAGAGGCCAGGTTGAAGTAGCCACGATATGACACTTCATCTGGTGTTACATCTTCATGATAATGACCTCCTTCTCCATGTGTGCTGAAGCAATGAGTATGCTCAATCCTCAGATCCAACCCCTAAAGGAGAGAACCACTCTACATCATCCTTTTTCTTTTCCCTTTCATTCAAACCACAAACTAACCAACTCACAGGATCATGAGAATAGAAGAGACTCAAGCAGATAAGTGGGGCAGACATATTGTAGAACCGGAGCCATGAATTAACTTCTTGGTTGGTATGAAGAGGAACCTCAGAGAAATCAGGCATGACATGACACTTTGCCTTCCCTTTCTCAATCAAAAATGTTCCACCAACAGCAATGGTGGAATCCTTGAATTCCTCTTTTAATGCCTTTTGCATGCAACTAATGAAGTTCTCCTCTCCAGTTCGCCTCTCAGCAACCACCTCAATCACCTAAGTGCATTGGGATGAGAAAAGTCTGTAGAGTTCAAATGACCTACATATGTCAACCAAGGAGAATCCTGCCTGACCTTGCCAGGAAGTCCCTTAGAAGCAAATATGTTGAGCGTGACTGCACCTCTTGGCTGGTCATCTGGCAAGCGCTTCAACACACACTTTCCCTGTTTCCCAACAATGGATACATGGGAGCAGTTCTGCACACCTACTTCACCACCCAAGTGCATGTTGGGCATCATCTAATAAAAGAATCACAATGACAAATGCATGAGACCCTCAAAAACAAACAAGAATTGACCATAATATGCTAGAATGACACACCTCAGAATTCACACCAACATAGTCCCAAGGTCCAGCCCCAGCTCCAATCATGAAGACATCCTGAAGACCAACAGCTGCAGAGACATCACGGAGATCATAGAGCTTCTCTCGATTGACAGAGGGGAAGAGGTAGGGGACTCCTCCGATGTCCATTGCCAATGGTGAGCCACATAATCCATGAGATGCAAGATGGAATGGTGATTGGGTCAAGTCAGGACAATCCACTTCTCTGACAGAAACCTTGGAAAAGTTTCCCTCTAGCCCCTTCTGCAAAACTGAAATGGTTTTGCAAGGAATTTAATCATATAAAATCATGGCATAGGCTCAACCTTATCTCAATCAACTGGCTGTATAAGGGCATGACATTTTATGAGACACTTGTGCCTAGTACCATCACTTTGGAATTTACTGTTCACATGCTGTATTTTAGGGATAGGATGACATGCTATCTCACCAGGGATGACAGTTGCAAAGCTAGGGACTTCCAAGAGTTTCTTCTCCCAAAGAAGAGGTGACATTCTTGAATGAACCTGATAGGATGTACACACTTTGAACAACACTGAAACCATCAATCTCTTACTTTCCAAGACAGCTGACTTATTCTACAAAACTTCCAATTACACTGCCCAGAGCAACAGAAATAATCTGTACCTTGGGTAAAGTGCTACATGTCACAGAGAGATCCATCATTTATCTATTCTTTTCATCTCAGCCTCATGAATTATAACAGTATGATACATAAATGTCCCTATGCCATATGTTACTAAGGAATGCCAGTCACAAGCCAATCATCACAGCACCAGCAGAAACGTGCCATTCAAGAGCTTCCAGAAGTAAGGAAAACTTGCTAGAGAGTAGAATACTATTGTTTGGTGTCGAAAAGTTGTCAATGCATATCACTTACCAGACTGGGCTTAATAAAAATTTTTTGCTTTTTTTTGGTTAGAGCCTCAAACAAGACTAGACAAATGTTTTCATGAGCATGATGGCATCATATTGGTACAACATAAGTCTTCAGCAATATATAGACAACACCTTTTGTAATATATTCTCCTTGAAAATAAAATACAGGTAAAGGTGCTTGAGAGTTTAAAAGTATTGATTCGCAAGCTTCTTTTTTCAAGAGAATTACTGACACTTTCAAAGTCAAAATCTTGTAAAGGGATTGGGTACAATTGTACAAGGGTACAATTGACTGAGGCTTCCTCAAAAAGCAATGTTTGCTCTAATCAAATATGAAAGTAGATGACAGACTTCAAGTATAACCTTCAGAGAGAATTTCCAAGAGAAGCAATGTTGCATTATTTTACATTGAGCAGCTCAATTCATCCATGAAAAATCATGATAGGAATTTATTCACCTCATGAAGTACAAGAACAGAACCACTATATAAAAAAGTGGCACAACATTTCAAGAGTTTAACATCAAGGTTCACCATGTATTTACTGCTAGTGGATGAAATTGGCCATTGATATATCTATGGTCACACTACAGTGACAGTTCTCCTGAAGTGAAGAATAAGACAAGCTAGAACATTTCGATGCCAATTGACAAGCATTTGGAATCAATGCCAGCCCCCTTAGCAATCACGGTAAGTGGGCTTAGACTGGAGAAAACCTTACTTAAGGTTGTGCATGGCAAGTATTATTATGCAATGACCAGAACTTCTTGATCAAAAAGAAATAGGGACAAATGTATATTTTCCTATTTATATTTGAAATGTTTGGATGTAGAACAGTCTTCTGAGGTGATCATGAAGATTTTTTCTCCTCAGCTTTCTCCTTTACTTCTTCTTTCTTGTCAGACTCCTTTTTCTCCTTTGAGTCCTTGCCTTCTTCCTTTTTGATATTCTCCTTCTTTTCAGCATCACGATTGGACAGCTTGTTGTTGATGAGATTGTGCAGGGCAATCACAGAACGGATCAAAGATGCCAGGTACACCACAAGAAGCTGATCATTGGTTTTCACATGCATGGCCTTAATAAAATCTGGATGAGTGACATTTGGGAGCAGATTGAAAATGTCTTGGAGCTGATATATGATGGCATGATTCATGGGGAGAGTTCCAACAACCACCTGACTCAGATAATCCCGAATACCCTTGATCTGAGTGTAGAGACCTTTGAGGCCAAGGAGCTGATTGGTGACTCTCTGGGACAATGTCCCCACAGTAGTGTCCTTGATATCACGAAGCAGATGTTCTACACCAACCTCTTCTGCTTCCTCTGCTCCAATCTCACTTGCAACATGTTCAAAGGTCTTGGTCGTTGGTGTTCCATCATCATGCACTTCTTCAACTGCAAGATAAGCCTCTGTTGGCAGACCCAGTGCCTTTGGCTTGGCATCAATGATGACCAGGACAGAATTGGCACAGTATCGCCTAATCAACTCGTTGATGAGGACATCATTTTGGTGCAGCTTTGGGCCAGTATGGTACCATCCCACAATCTTCTCTCGTGCATTGACCTTCTTGAACATGTTATACATGTTCTCCAAATAATCATGGTCAAGAAACCAGACTGACTTGTCTCGATCATCCTCATCAAACGGAACGGCAAAGCTGTTCGAAATATCAACCAAACCCTTCCCTCTCCAGCTGCCGAGAAGGACTCCGACAACTCGCTTCTGGTTTCCAATCTTCCCCATCCGGTTGAAGTGATCCACAACACTCAGAAGAACAAGGGGATGAACAACCACCTTTGTTACAGCTAACTCTTGTGATGCCATTTTCAAGTAAAAGAGAGAGGAATGTGCACCACTATCTCTTGTCAAGGACCTGAAAGGAACAAAAAGAATGTATTATCATTACAGTAGGAGGTTAAAAATGCAAGTTGAATTCTTGAAGCAAGATTTCTGTCTTTATGGGGCTGAAAAAAGTTTAAAGACCACATGAATTCATGCATGCTAAGTGAAATGTTTCAAGTGAAAACAAGAGAAAAGAGTAGGCAGAGGATGCAAAGCATGTGGTAGATATCAGAGAGATCAGCAGGAAAGTTTAGGCCTATTTTCTGGACATACTGGAAGTTAAACATCAAGTGCATCCTCTGAAATTACCATTATAACATAGCCTCATATATTCTTCACTGTTGCTACATCTATCACACTAGGCCTAAATAATGCCACATTAGGCCTATACCAATAACTTCAGTTCCACACAGTACATTTCCAGCACAAAAAGCACAAGGCCTCTCTTGTGCTTCAAGCTTAAAGCCTTGACCTATTACTTAACATATTGATGACTTGCTGTCACATAGACCTAAAGGAATGAATCGAAACCTTTCTCATGTCATAACCCATCAAGCCCTCTTCCCATATTTATGTGACCCACAAATTTAGGAATGTCCAGAAATAATGTAGTCATGTGAATCTATGAAGATCTGAAATATGAAAGAATCTGACTGGTTTATCCTTCAATGTTGGGTAATTTCAATCTAAATGCCAATTCAATTTTGAAGGCTTCATAGATCCATTTGCCAGCAGCTCACCACAAAATAAATATGCATTCTGGTTTTATTCTCTCTGACACTGTGAAACCACCTGAAGGCATGAAACATAATACTTCTGGATTGGTACTAGTTTTGAACTTCTTGCTGGATGAAAGCTGAGTTCTGTCCCCCATCTACAATTGAAGGTTAAAAAAAGTACAGGAAATCATGGATAAGATGACCTTCTTAAACCTTCCCCTCCAAACAAAAAAAAGTTGAGAGAAGAAAATACATCAGTTCATGTCACAGAGAAACTAAATCAAGGAAACTTCAGCTTCTGACCACAAAAAAAAAACAGTGTAACCCCTAACCATGGTACTGAGGAACCAGAGAGAATGCTGATGAGGAGTTGAGTAGAGATGAAGGTTAAGAGCAAGAATGATCAAAAAGACATTTTAAAGCTGAATGCCCTTTCTTAGAATTGTTTGCCACCAAGCCCTCTGCTGCTTTCTAATTTGTATTAGTAGATTAGATCATTCCTGGAAAGTTAAGCTCCGGTAATATTCCCCTGTACTTTTGGATGGCGCTCATGATTGAACTCTGCCTTCTTTAATATCTCTCCATCTTTTACTTTTAATTCATTTCATTCTCTTGCAACCCACCTGGAAGACCACTGCGACCCACCAGTTGAGAATCACTCACCTACAGTATCTAATTCTGATAGATGCTTAAATGCCCAAACAGTAAATCAGAAGGGCAACTTTTGCAGGAAACCAAAAGTTGCCTGTTATTTATATCAGGGAAAAAAAGACAAGGACTTAAGATAGGTCCAAGAAGAATAGATCACTGCATCCAAAGAAAAAACTAGGTTCGAGGAATCCTACACTAGTCATGGAAAGACCTGCATTACAAGAGTACGCTCTCCCCCTTTCTAGCAACTTGATGTCAAGTATACAGAACAGTGTAGCACCATCTCACTGCTACTTCTTCACTCCTGAGAAATCAACATTCCATGTCTTTCCAACCCACAGCAGCACTCACTTTCCATTCCAAATAAAAGCTTACCATTCCCATTCTCAAATTTCACTCTAGTCACATTTCCATCTATTAGAGTATGTTGAGTATGCCAAACTGTAAGATTTACTAAGTGCAAAAAAACTTTTAAAATGAAAAGAGTCACCATAGATGACGGGTGAGAACCCCTCTACTACCATCACTTCCCTGAACCCACAAAGAGACAAATTTTGGATTTGGGATGACAAATGTGACTATTTGATCTCAAACAAGTGCTAAGTTTCCTCTATCATCTTTGAGCCAAGTTTCCAAGAGAGTGAGTTAGAGTGGAACCCTAGAAATAGAAATAGAAATAGCATGGCTTGATGCTTCACAAGATGACTCTTTCACCCTACTCCTGCAGCATTGATTATGACATTGTCAGTCTGGCACCCAGAATATTCTGGGATCTGCAGTACTTGGGTTAGGGTACTGCATCATTGAATTTTCAGGAATGGCTTGCTACTGTATCAATACTTTACAATAATTGGAATGGAAAAATTTTAAATAAATCAGTCATGAGAAATTTTTTCAATGATAGAAAAAGAAATAAAACACTCTGAGAACTGGCCCAACAAGAAACTGACAACATATTGGTGAAGACATTACAAAAGCATTTGGTTTAAGAGGCCTATTGGCTTGCTATCAGGAATCAAGGACATGACATTCATTTTGATCAAAATGTAAATTCACTGTGGCCAGGTAAACTCCTACTTAAAGTCTTACTTACATAATGCTGAAAAATGCAAGATAAGGCTGGTATTACTCAAATTTACTCACTGCAAAGAGGGAATCAATGGGAGTAGGCAAAATGTAATTTCCATTCAAAACAAAAAAGCACACAAGAAACCTTGCCCATATATTTGTTTGCCTTGGTTGATGTGCACATCTGGCAGTTTATAAACAAGGTAATGATATATAAAAAAATTCATTCAGTGTTCTTGAGGTGACTGAACAGAGTGCAAGTAGAGTAGAATGTCCTTAATGAAAACTCATCCTATTGCAACATTAACATATTCCTTCCTAAGCTGCAATGGTCCAGATGAAGAGAAAGGCCCCAGTGTAAAATGCTGCAATTCTGGAATACTGGAATTGTGGTTTTAAAATTTGCTGGAAATGCAGCTGAGTAAGGAGAAGGGAGAGACAGAGCCCAAGTTAGGACATTGACCATGAGAGGCATGTGACTTTGGGTATTATATTTGACAAACTAACTTTAATGGTCACTAGTTCTAGTTCACCCTGTGTGATGAGATCCTCTTACGGCTAAATAATATTGCTTCCTTCAAGAGCCTATGCTATAATAGGCCTCGAAGCTATGCATAGGCCTAATGCATTAGTATGTGTGTCCGTAAATTCCAGGTAGACGTAAGCCTACGAACCTCACCATTCTCCGTAAAAAAAAAAAAAAAAAAAAAAACTCAAACGAAACATCAGTGACGTTCCAGACTAAACTAGGACCAATCTTCACGTGCACCAAGAATCCGTTCGAATCCATTTAAAGATTTGATGGCTTGGCAAATGGCACCTTAACGGTTGCGGTCAACGACCGCTGCTTTCATATCGTCACTTTCCCGACTTTCTTCACGCTCGGAAGCGAAATACAGGGTACGAGTGGATGCTATCCTTCCCATTCGTCATCGGCAACCCCGACCATCGCCACCTGGCCTTCATTCCTCGCTCTGCCGCCACCGGGACGTAGCACCATAACCCACGCAGGCGGACATGTTACGGAAGGATCACCGCACTGTGACACCTCACGATCGGGAGGCCGAGTAGAAGCTTTTCGCGTCTGCTTCGAGATGACAGCACCAGCAAGAGCGAATTTGTTCATTTAGAAAAGGTTTTATTTCATCTTCTTAAATAAGTGGGTGGGAAGCTAATACAAGCCTTCCAACTCTCACGAGGTAGAGTAGCAGGAGAACTCTCAATTAGTCAATGAATTGCGAATTCGTGAATAACGCGTAAAAAAAAATCCAGCACACAAGGGCTCCTTGAACCGGTAGGTTTATAAAAGGGACTGACCAACGTTTCGGGAACGTAAGGTTCCCTTCTTCAGGGTGCATGAGGGAGAATGGAAATTTAAAAAAGGGCGTGTAAAATGGAAGAGGCCGCTCCGAAAGATGAATCCACATGCTTCAAAGGGGAGAAGTAGGTCCGGAAGAGACTTTGCGCTAGGAAATATCGAGTGTAGCATGATCACTTGTGGATACGTGTGTGTGAAGAGATTACAAAGTTAAAAACTCACAAAACTTGAAAGAGAAGGCCAAAATTAAGATTTCCCAAAATTAGGGGAGCGAAGATGCTCAACAGAAAGTCTTGCAACCGACACGAAGAGTGCAATTGCATCGTTGGGAGCATCTTATCGAGAATACTCACAGGTGGGAAGATTATCCAAAGCTTGCATAGCCTAGAATACACACTATTTGCATACAAGGTGCCTGATAAGTAACTGCAGCTTTTTTTTTTTTACTCTATCTCTTTCGGATAAAAGCAGTATGAGATTGGATGCAGTCGACCGAAAGCAAGATCTCTAAGCTCGTGGACTTTTAATCGGGAAACGATTTCGAATTGCAGCAGGGATTTTGAAAGCATCCCGGTTCGGCGAGGCAGTTCGACTCAAAACGGAATTTTTTTTTTTTTTGGGGGGGGGGGAGGAGGGGGGGGTCCGTTGGAGGCTTCAATGAACGAAAGAGGGAAACCCATCCCGCCTTCAGGCTTCGATCGCTTCTCGGAAGATTTTGCCAAAATTAGAGTGAGGCTTTTTGGGAAGGGCGGTTCCTTTCCCTCTCCTTTTCGGTCGAGTTAGCGCGGGATTTGGAGGAAGGTCCAGTCGAGAATCTTCGCGGTGGAACGCTCGGTTAAGAACATAGCCGAAATAATGCGGAATGAAGCGTGGAAAATAAAGCAAATCTGTGCGAAGTCAAATCGGAAAGCCTGATGAAACATTCGGTCGTGATGACGTCAGAAAACGACCGCGATCGCTCGACCCATTTAGCTCGAGCGCTCACGGAGCAACGAGCCGTATTGCTAATCGGCCGTGTTTACCGTTTTGCTAATATGCGGTGTTCCAACCCGCCTACGCTTGCGTCCCAGAGGACGGGTTCGACTCCTCAAAAAATAAAAAAAGGAGGGAAAGGGTCTCTCGACTAATATGTCCGATACGAAGGCGGACATGCGCCTAAACCCGATGCATCTGCCTGCAGGACCCATGATTTCTGCCCATTCGGCTGAAAGAAAACCCAACCGAGT